CGTACATGCACCAATTCCCTTTGAGGAACATGATCATCATGTACTACAAACACATGTACATGTAATATAAACACATATAACATGTAAAAATATAAATACATGGGTCCAACATATGCAGGGAGGGCAAGGGCTTAAAAAGATTTTAAAAATCTCATGTACATTCACAAACTCTCCACCATGTTAATCATTATGTACTACAGGCAAGTACCAATAAAAAAATAAATTTAAAAAAAGTAGAAAACTATTTGACAATAGAAACTAGGTCAGTATTGCTTTTCTGGGGTTGGGGTATGACCAGGAAAGTGGACAGGACTCTTCCGGAGTAAGGGATTTTTGTATTTGACATAATCCTTTTGATTGATCATACTATAAAATGGAGATCTGAGCATTCTGCTGTAATTACACATTATATATAATGGCTTATTTTTAAAAACAGGTGCTACTCATTACTCCTCAGGGAAATACAAATTAAACAAGGCACCCACTAGAACGGCCAAACTAACCACTGACAAAAAGTGATGACTGTGGAGTAACCTGAACTTCTACTTGGTAAATTACTTTGGAAAAAAAAGTATGGCAATTTCCTTTCAAACTATATTATCTCCCTTCACCAAGCCCTTCCACACTCATCAGTAAATACATATGTATAGACAATGACTAATGTAAGAACACTCGTAACTTTATAACAGCTCAGAACTAGAAAAAGTCCAGGCTCCCAACAGTAAGCCATACTAATTAGAAGCCAATTATTGACTCATACCTATATATTAAAAATATCTGAGCCCAGAGCAGTGATGCACACCTCTTTTAAGCCCAGCACTTTGGGAGGCCAAGGCAGGATTTTAAGTTCAAGCCCAATCTAGGCAATTTATGAAGACCCCCGTCTCAAAATAACTTTTTAAAAAAGGGTTAGGGCTTAGCTCAATGCAAATGCCCTACATTTAATGCCTAAAATTGTTTTCCCCTGGTACCAGGGATCAAACTCAGACCTTGTGCTTACCAGGCAGGTGCTGCACCACTGAGTTACATCCCCAGCACTAAATTTTTTCAAAGTAATTCTTTGAAAAAGCCTCTGTACCTTGTAACTACATCTGATGTTTTGTAGAACAGGTGAAGTACACCCATGGAAATCAGAAAGGAAAAATTAAAACCCAAATAGTATCTTTGAAAGATGAAGACAGAAATTGATAGGGAAGGGCCACAAGATTCTTTCTGGAATCGGTAAGACCATTTTACATAGGGTACATGTAATCATTTTTCAGATTTAAATTCTACCTTAAATCATTGTATATTGACTTAAAAAGAATTGATGGGGTAAAGAGTGGCACATGTCTGCAATCCCAGCACCTGGAGAGCTAAGGCACAAGGATCCCAAGTCCTAGGCTAGCCTGAGACACATGGAGACCGTCTCACACACACAAACCAAAGAGAACTGATGGGATGGGTTGTTTTTCAGGAACTAGTAAGAGTTAAGGCTATTAACAGAAATGACAATACTTGGAATTTTCTGTCATCTTGATGGTTAGCTGCACTTCCTTTCCATTGATTTGTTCAACTGGTTTCATAACCCAAATGCATAGTTTTAGGTGCAAATAATCAAATGCATATTTAATACATTAGGGAAAAAAACCCAAAACTTGCAAACTGAGACATTATGTGACGTTTGATAAATGAAAACCCTTTGGTATAAAGAATTCATCGCTACTTTTTTCCTGTAAGGCATAAGCAGGAGAGGTAAAATCACTGCAGGAGATTCTTGAGTTCATTAGCCCCTCCTTGGATCCCATCTAAATTTTTTTTTTTTGCAGTACTGGGGATCAAACTTGGCACTTGCCAGGCAAGCCGTGGTGCCACTGAGCTACAACCCCGGTCCAGCTCCCATCTAATTTTTTGGGTGAGGATTAAATGATATCATCCAAATAAGCTTAATGTATTAACTGAAGGTCACTGCCCAATAAAGGAAGCAGGTCACTGCAGGGACTCTGAATATCCCCTTAAAACTGTTCAAGTGCGAGCATTCCATCAGAACCAATGCTTAAGGGGGGAGATTTCAGGAAAACACCTAAAGGCTAATACATCTTCAATTTCAAAAAAGGTGAAAAAAAGCCCACTGCCACAAAAAGATGTATGTTAAAGTTTTATTAAAATTCAATACAAAAACATTCCAAAAGACATGATCTATAATACCTAAGAGTTCTGTTTAATTACCAGTCAAACATGAAGACATTTTGGAAGACATTTTACCATTCCATTTCTTTTACAGCCAGTATAAAGCCAGATGAATCAAGACCGATTCTTTTCTCAATGGGAGCAAAATTAAAGGGTCTGTAAAGTTTGCCAAAAAGGCACCTAGTCATTTAAGCATACTCTTTTGAATTCAGCATTCATACAATTAGTCTCTATTCTACAGTATCTTAGAAATCTAAAGAAAATCTCAAGGGCCAAAAAGCCCTCACAGAAGCACTAAGTAATTAGATTATGGAAGACTCGAACTAAGATCTGTATTCAAGTACAACTACTTAATTTTGGTCAGTATCCTCATGGTCAGTGACTAGGAGTGTAAACCAACGAGGCTTAAAATTTTGAATTATTTTGCCAATCACAAATGTTAAGCATGATAGTAATTATATTATGGGGGGGTCCTCAAAAATTCAGTTGGCTCCTCTAACTGAACAAGTGTTCCCTTGAGAACATTATCATTTGTATTACTGGCTCTGGTCTCCCAAGCAATAAAGTATTAGAATTTCAAAATTGGGAGCTGAGGATAATAAAGTAAGATTACCAATATAGCAATCAAGTAGCCAATGTTTCCAGTTTCAAGTGTACTTTGCATCATCTTAGCAATGTTTCAAGTTGTTTTTTGTTTCTTGATGTTTCTCCTTAGTTTTGTTGTAAACAACCATTTTCTCTGATAAACTAATAAAAAATGTTCCACTTACTGAAAATCAGACACTACTGGGTAAAGAGTTACTACTTATAGCTGTCACTTTTTGATTCAACATTTTTTGTGGTGTTGGGTGACCAAATCCAGGGCTACACACATGCTAGGCAAGTGCTTATCCCCACAGCCCTTAATTCAACTTTCTGCTTTTGGTGTTATTTTTTCCAAAGTGCAGAGTTGCTTCCATGACTTTAGCTAAATAAAATGAAAGCCAAAGCTATAAATCTACACTAATAGCCACAAGAACTTCCTGAGTATCTCTCCACTTACCAATTTCTCTCCCTTTCTCCATTTGGTCAATTTTAAGTAACTACCACTCGCTAGTTAAGAGTGTTAATCAACACTGATGCCTTCCTCAGATTCACAAAAACCCTGGAAGGCAAAACCTACTGCCTGTGCCAAACCAATTCTGATGAACACTGCTTATGCAACTGTTGTGCCTTATTGTCAGCATTCTTCTGCTTCAACAACTCTGTAAAAAAGCATGGGATCAAGTTACAGGACATTTGTTTTATACTGCAAAGTACTCCACTCCCCCCATTCTTTTTTTTTTGGTACCAGGGATTGAACTCGGGTCCTTGCACTTGCACAGCAGGTGGCAAAACCACTGAGCTAAATCCCCGGCCCTCCCCCTATTCTTACATACTTGCTGGTTTCAGTTGCACCAAAAAGTATTTGCTTTAAGTACAAGTCTTAAAAAGCAGCCATACACATAATTACTGTAAACATAGCTTTGTAGTACTAAAATTATGCTATGTCACCATTATGCCAATAAAATTACGTTGCTCAAACTGAACTGCAGTAGCAATTGTACCAGTAACTCTCAATTCAGTTCATTTGTTTCTTGGCTGTACTGACGGGCAGGCAACAGAGAAGATGCACAGAAGGAAGCTTGTCCCTTGTAAGTTTCCCCACATAATGAAACATCAGCTCCAGTCCCTGTCAGAGAATGCTTGAATGTGAAGTATTAGCACCTGGGTAAGAAATAGCTAATAATGCATGACTGGTACTTTAATGGAAATGCACCTATGTAACGTCACTCTACATTCAAGAGATGTGACAGATATTACACATTCAAACAACTGTATCTTCATTTCCAAGAGTTGTTGGGTATTAGCCCATTTTTGCAAATGAAGAGGGAAAAACTTACCAGTACAACTAAACGACCAAAGCTGGTATAGTATTTAAATCTTCAAAGGCCACTGCTTTCAAAACTTACCTTAGCATTTTGATTTCTCGATGCCAGCTTTATCTACTGTGAATAAATCAGCACTCCATGAACCACAATGACCATAGTCCTCAACCTGCAAAAATTAAATACATGAAAAACCAGTTATCTTAGGCAAATTCTTCAAAATGTGCCTATAACTGCCTTCTTTTCCAGAAAGCAAAGGCAAGTTCAGACTTGCAGCTTAATGTATTTCATGTTCTACTACTTCTCTTAAGTGGTGGAAGATTCACTGGCTTGGGATGGACTGGAATGGCTTAAATGGTTAAGTTGCATGGCTTATGGATTCTCATTCTGTTCCAATGGTGCACTGCCACGTTAAATCCATAAGTTGAACGGACAAAACCTTATTTGAAGGAAAAGTGCAGTGTAAGGATTTTTAGTTGGAGGTCTTCAAGTTTACTCTATTCAAGAGGATCTTTTTCAACTTCATGGCTGGACCTGGGTCATGCTGCCTCAGGTTTTGCTTTTTAAAGACCACTTGCAATAGATTTTCTCCATACAGTGTAGTTTCATAGAACTAAAAACAAGTCAGGCATCCAACTAAAGGTTAGGGCTGCAATGGCTTACAGGGCAAGAGAGGGGGACCCCAAACGTAAGCCATTTCTTTTGACTAAAAGACTAATTGAAAAAAATGTCAAAACATGAAGCATGTTTAAAGGTCTTCATCAAAAATACTTTTTTTAAAAAATACCCCCTCCCAAGCCCCAGACTGATATTGGTACACAGCTGTATTAAGGCCTTTAAGTGTCATACATGCTTTAAATAAAATCCAAGTGTTGAATTTGGAGGACTTCTAATATGCTAGTGAACATTTGCTTTTCCAAAAGGTTTTTTTTTTAAATCTAGAGGCATTTCCATTGCCAATGAGGTACAGTGTTTCACTGTACTATGAGGAAGGTAACTGTTCAATTTCGACTTAGACGGAAAAACTAGTTTGCTTTGCTTACCATCTTTGCTGTTTCACAGGCATTTGATGCTTTAAATCTGATGTGGAATGCTGATAGATTCACTTTTTAGAAGTCATAAGCCTTTAGGAAGTTGGAGATAACTTCATTGCTTATCTATTTCTCCTTTGCAATCAAGCTGTTCCTTTAAAAGTGAGACACTACAGAGTTGCAAAAATTTGAAACAGTAAGAGCAAGCATCGTTTGCAGCTTCATGGTTGGTTTTGGCCAAACTTTTTATTTAGTATTCTGTAGTTGTTTAACACACACTTAAAATGGTCTTACTGGGGGAAGGGGAAGGGGAGGTTCTTGCAGATTCCCAAGGAAATGTCAGAAAGGCAAATTATGGCCAGCATTATCCATTTGCTTTTGTGGGTTTACTGGGCGAATAGCACTTTCCTTACATAGGTATCTGATCTCAGGCTTTTCCATACTGAGAACATGGAGATTTCAGTTGGAAGATATCCTGAAATCCTAAGTGTACCCGACCACCCTCTAATAGCTAGCTTGTCTGTACAGGCAGAATGGTTCATCTCTCAATGGAGATCAATGTACATCTAGATGGCTAGATGTTTGTGGAAGATCTTATAATTGCTTGCTTTATTTACTGGGAAAATTAAGGAAGTGGCCTTTAGGGACTTTTACTTGGAAAATTACAACACTAGTACAAGTCAACCCTTACACACTTAAACATTTGCTTGTTGAGAGCAAGTCATAAAATCAAACTTAAACATGTTTTACTTTTCTTTCCTCACAAGAACATAAAAATTATGAAGGGGACTTAACAGGAAATTTTTAAAAAGTAACACAATTTTCCTTTTAGTAGTCCTTGGGTAGTTATGACAGAATAGTTTCCACTTTTTGTTTGTTTCTTTGAATGGGCATTTTGGTCCAAAGTTTTGTTTGTTTCTAGTATCTGCTTCTGCCTCCCCCTCTATCAGATCGGCTTCCTCCACGGCCACCACCTCTTGGTGCTCCGCGGCTTGAACTGCTGTAGGAATCACGTGGAGGAGGGTACCCCCTTTCCATAGAAGGGGGAAGCCCTCGTTCTTGTCTGCCAACCCGATCGCGACCACTTGAGTAGAGATCACTTCGGCTGCTTGAGTAACTGTCTCGACTTCCACCATATCCGTCTCGTGAGCTGCTGTAATCATCATAGCGACTGCTTCCACCATAAGATGGCGGGGGCCCTCGTGTAGGTGGAGCACTACGTGAGTTACCTGCAGGGTCAATGGTCAGGTAATATGGCAACACTATAAATTGTATATATACAACATTTAAATTTGAATTTACAGAATTCTTGTATTAAAATTTTAATTTCTCAACTGGGAGGTTTTAAACTCTACCATTGCTGGCCATTACAAGGATTTGCTCATCTGCTGAGATACGGAAATGGATTGATTTTAATGTTTGTTTGAAAAGACTGAAGACGGTGTGTATTTCAAGAGGATATTCCAGACAGCTTGTTATTTTATAGTAGACACTCAGCCACTTTCCAGTGATAAGTTGCAATTTTGAACTGTAGAGTTTCCTTCATATTACAATGGTAAACATTTGATCTTGTTAATAAAATTTTTAAATTGTATTTTCACTGTTGGGGGAAAACACATAAGGCTGCCAATTTAAGCAAGCAAAAAATCCCCTCCAAAGCAAGCGAACAGCCTCAAAAGGAAAGAAAAAGAAAAAAAAAACTTAAAAGAAACAAAAGCCCCTCACAAAACTAGGAAAAGCCCAGCTGTTACCCTTTAAAAGCAAGCAAACATCCCCTTAAAAGCAAGCACCACACAGCCTATTAAACTGGCTTATGAACAAACCTAAAAACTCAAACTGGCAATATTCAAGACCCTTAACCAGTATCTTACCATAACTCTCATATGAATCTCTGTAGGAACCTCCACTCGGGTGGTCTGAATAGTCACGATCCCGACCATAGCCATCTCTATCACTAAATAAAAAAAGAAACTCCTAAGTCCCAGAGCACCAATTTTCACAGCAAATTTTCATCATCAACTCATGGAAACAAGGTCACCCACCTATAGCCTCTTGATGGATAGTCATCACGTGAACTGGAATGACCATAATCACGGTAAGTATAATCTCTTGGTGGTGGGGCATAATCTCTTGTATCACGAGAACTTGGGTAATCTCTGCTTGAATAGCTATAGAAACAAAAGTAATTTGGTTTATGCTTTTGATGAACTCTCCTCCTATCTTAACCATTAATGAAAAAGAAGCTATAACTTTATCTCACCTGTCTTTAGTAGAATATCCATCGTCTCTTGGAGACAAATAAACATCTCTACGAGAGGGCAAGGGTTCCCTTCGAGGTGGGCCTCCGTAACTATCTCTTCCACGTGATACAGGGGCTTAAAGAAAAACAATCATTTTTAAAAATCTAGCCAAAGCAGGAAACTAAAATGTACATTCAGGCTATGAAGAATAGGGACTTAAAAACAGTAATATGAGGGAGGGAAGGGGATTTTTTTAAAAAGCTGTATTAAGTACATGTACCCACTCCCCAAGATGACTAAACTGCATGTACAGCAAACACAGACTAATAAAATTTTTTAAATGTAAAGAAATATAGTAATATGTAGTTGATCAGATCAAGATATTTTCTTCTCTAAAATTTTCCATTCGAATCTTTTCAGGGCTCATTAATCAGGTGTACTAGATCACCCGGAATCCTTAAGTCAATTTTAAGTTAAAAATCATTTTAAGAGTCACCTCTCAATTCCTGTGTTAATGGTTGCAGATTACTATTCATCCAACATTTACCTCTTCCTCCCATTCCACTGCTGCTGCGAACTGGTCCTGAAGGGGCCGATCTTTTAGGAGGAGGACCCCCACTTCTGGGTGGTGGTCCTCTTTTCACTGGAAGGGGTCCTCTGGAAGAACTCATGTTAAAATTCATGGAATAGCCACCATCATCTACGTTAGAATAGAAAAAAATGTTAACAATCACAAGAATAAAAAAAAAAACTATCTTTTTTTATTAAGTTAGGGAGTGTAGCTTTAGTTTTCAATTGTAGGGGCCGGGGATGTAGCTCAGTGGAAGAGTATTTGCCAAGGATCCATGAGACCCTGGATTCAATCCCCAGTACAAAAAAGTTTCCAACTGCGTAAGACAAGCATGAAGAAATCAAAGGAAAATACAAACGAATGGTAGTTTTTTTGGGGGTTTTTTTTTTTTTGGTACCAGGGATCGAACTCAGGTCCTTGTACTTGCAAAAAATGAAAAGTAGTTTTAAAGTTACCTCAAAGGAAATACATCTTTTTTATTATGTGCAATGCCTATCAAACAGAAAATTTTCTGAGTACTTTTCTTACAGGAAAAACTACTTAAGGAATTGTACATGGTCCATCACTTCAATTAACACTGTAGTTTAACTTAGGATTCCTTTCATTCTTTCAAGTGATAATCACACTTCAATAGGTAAGCAAGTGTTCCCAATTTAAGAATGGAGGCTTTGCCTTTTAACAAGGACTTAGCCAAAAAGGCAGGAGTTTGCAGCCCAAGATCCACCCAAATCCTTACCCATGTGCCCTCCATGTGAGGGAGGTCCCCTAGTTCCTCCACTTCCTCCTCTTCCTCCTCTAAGACCTCTGGGAGGGCCTCTGCTTCTTGGAGGTGGAGGGGGGCCGCGTCTACCACCTTCAAACGATGGTTTGGTGGCTTGTTCCACCTTGATGGCTTTTCCATCCAAGGACTTTAAACAAAACAAAAAAAATGATCAAAATGGTTAAATTAGCTGAGCACGCGGCCCACGGCTAGCACTCTGGAAGGCTGAGACAAGAGGATTACAAGTTTGAGCCCAACTTGGGCAACTTAGTGACTCAGAATTGAGAACAAAAAAGGGTGGGAACAAAGCTCAGAGTGCTGGTACTGGGTTAAATTCTCAATAGCAAAGAAGATAATAAATTATATCAAGATTTTAAAAGAATTTGCAGATCTGGTATGCATTATAACACCAAGAGACCCTTTAAAATAGTTATTAAATTTTACTCATTACTCAAAGAAAACACTAGAAATAGCATTTCTATAAATGAGACTTTAAGTTTCTACTCAGTCTTTTTGAAAAATACTGATGAACTGAATCAAAACATAAGCTGGACCTACCACACTGCTATTCAGTAAAATTTAAAACTAAAACAAGCCTAGGTATGAGCTTATGACCAAAACAGCCAGCTTATGACATATGGATCCCATAATAAAATACAGTATCATATAATATATAAATTATATAATCCATAACTTTGGCACAAAACTTGGGTTTGGCATTAGACAATACACTTCAGAATAGCAACTCAAATTGCTACAATCAGCAGGTCCTGGACAAGTATAGACTCCAAAACAACAAAAATTCAAGAATTTCCCCGGCCCAGACTTGAATGCATGCTGTTTCATGCAATCGGAAACATGCTATATCCATCATTGTGCAGGGGCCTCACCTTTCCATTCATGTCCCGAGCTGCATCCTTAGCATCTGCTGGACTTTCAAATGTAACAAAAGCAAATCCTCTTGATTTATTGGTTTCTCGGTCTTTCATCAAGAGTACTGAAAAACAGTTTAAGAAAAAGTGTCACCCTACTTCAAATGAAATCATGTAAAGCTAAGTTTTGCAAAGAGAACGCTCAGAACTTCTTAGAGGACAAAACACATTATCATGTCAGATGATCAATGCAATTAAATTCATCACAGCTTATCTTTTAATTACAATAACCACACATGTAATTTCAGATGACTCACCTTCCACGATTCGTCCATACTTCCCAAATACTGCTTCAAGGGCTTTCTCATTTGTTTCTGTATTAAGCCCACCAATAAAGAGCTTTCCTGGGCGATCTGCTTCAACCATTTTTTTCTTCCTGGTGAGTCTGCTGAAAAATACAGTATTACCTCCCCTGAGAAAGTTCCCTAAATTTAACGGGTACCTTACTGTGGCTCACTTTTCAAGTTTTACTTAAAACTCCATGTCTGAATAACTAAAGACACCGATGTTTCAAACGCGGTAGAGCAAATTAAACCAAGTAGTGCAGTAACAGCGCCGTTTACATTAAACTCGTTAAAAGAGCCGATCTAGCTTTCGCCATTAACCTTAATCTCCCTTGGCTGTTTTTCATCAATTAACAAGCCACTCGATGTTTGAAAAAGGCAATTTTAGTTTTAACCGCACATTTGTTGACTTTGAGAGATTCAATTACTCATTCCATACACCCCCCGCTCCGCGCACAAGGAAGGTTTGACTACCGACTCATTCAAGGTCGCTGGCCAGACGCACAGCCTCTACACACATCAAAAACTTTCTTCCAAGAGCTCCCCTTCGTCTCACTAGGATTTCCCAGTAAGTCTAAGCAGTAGCAGAAATCTTCAACTCGCGCCAACTTGTGCCTCATCTTCAACAGCCCCCGCCCGCCCAAAGGATACTGGTCTCACTAAAAAATAAAATGTCAACATCGTTTCAGATTAAATAACGGAACATCGGCACGCGCACAGTAACTTCCATCGCTCCGAGACCGCGGCGGAGCCCAATTAAGACTCATTAAGAACCGCGTGGAAAGACAAAATGGCGGCGCTTGGATTCAGCCCAGAACTACCGGCACCGGTCAAGCAACTCTAGTCGGCTACGGCGGCTGGGAAAATTCAAAGGGCTTCCTCTGCAGGGGCGCTCTTGAACAAGGAAGGAGCTCGCTGACAAGTCCTCATGGCCACGGCCACCGCCAACCCGATGCAGTTACAGCGGTGGCGCGATCGCTCCGCGCCCAGCTCCAGCCCACAAAGCCCGACCTCCGCCCCTGCGTCCGCGAGGCACAGCCAAACTTCCCTGCGCGGGACGCGACGAGACGTCCCCCCGCCTCGTGCGTTTCCCTTCGACCCCCGTGGCCTCATTACCTAGGTCGGCACCTTTGGGTGACTTAAAATGGCGCCTGCCACCCCCATCTCGAGAGATAATCCCAAATCCTAACGTGGCAAGAGTGCATGAGAAAGGCGGACTAAGGCAACACGTACCAGAAAGGTAGCGACGGTCTCAAGCTCCTACGAGCTCGTGGATAAGGGCTGACCACGCAGCCAGGGACAAGTGACAGTTACCGGGTAGGGGAACAGAAGTGAGGAGCCGCTAGCAGTACTGCGCAACGAGGGCGAACAAAGGAGACAGCAAACTTTATACTACCCGGGAACGAGGCTGAAGGACCCGGATGGAAACGAAGCTTAGAATTTGAACCGCGAAGGGCGGGGGAGCGGTTCTCGGCTTCCTTATTGGATGTCTCCTACGTCATTCTCGCTTTGCCCCTCCCCTTTCCCCAAGCCCTGGGCGTTCTGGCCGGCGCCCGATTCTAACCGTTTTCCCTACCCCCACCCATTCTCCGCCAAGGCGGGTTTTTGCTTTGTGTTAAAGTAGTGCACCGGCTCCATTTAATAAAGAAGTGAAATTTGTTGACCGTCCTCTTGAGCCGGGAAGGGTGCAAAACTTTTTTCTATTAACTTTTACTTATAAAACCAACGTGGTAAGGGTAGATATTTCGAGGCCAATTTTGCAGAAAGGGAAAACAAAGAAGTTTAGGTAATACAATGTATTTGCCAAAATGATCTTGAACAAGGATTTTCAATGAGTGGGAGAGATTGTGATAAATAAACGGCAGGTGAGGAAAAACTAAACAGCGTGCAGATCGTTCATTCATACAAAACTATTACTGAGCACCTACTAAATACCACGCTCTGGGTTAGGCCTGAAGGTACGATCCAGAACTAGTAAAACAAGAACCAAGCGCCTCGTGAGTAAATCTGTCACCTTTAGTAAATAAAATCCCAGGAAGCCAAGTTAAGATTGAATGTCAGATATCGAGTCCTTTTTTTTGTATGTGCCCCAAGTATTTTATACAAAGAATTATTCATTGTTTATCTGAAATTAAAATTCATCCGGGCATTCTGTATTTTATCTCCCCATGTTACTGCAGGAGGGAAAATGGAGACATCTTTAATTTCTTTAAAAATTAAAGAAAAAATATAGTTAACAGACAATAATTGCGAATTGTGATTAGTATCAGGAAGGGAACAATGTTAGGGAGAACGAATTTGCTTAAGACATCAGGGCAGGTCTATCTGAAGAAGTGACCTTAGAAGTCAGAGGTGAAAGTGGAGAAAAAATCATGGGAAGAGCTGAGGGAAAAGCCTTTCAGGAAATAAAAAAATAAAATTGAAAAAAAAAAAACCCACTAAACCCAAAGAGGAGGGAAAGAGCTTGGCATTTGTGAAGGAACTGAAAGAGTGCCAAAATAATAGGAATTTAAGGAAAATTAAATGAGAGAGCCAAGGTAGGCAGGACCTGCAAACTCATTAAAAGGGTAATGGTGCGGAAGCAGAGACAAAATTAGAGCTGTGGGAAAGGACCAGAGGGGACAGTGGCTTGAATTAAGGTGGTGGCAGCGGCCTTGAAGAGGAGACAATTGCTGGATGAATATGCAGGTATGAGGACAGGATTTGCTAATGAATCGGATTGTGTTACAATGGTGTAAATATTCTCATTCCCCCTAACTCCTTTGTTGAAACCCCGGTCTCCAAGGTGGCAGTATTAGAAAGTGGAGTCCTGGGGGCCCCTGTGAAAGTGTCCCATTCCACAATGTAGGGACACTGAAAAGGAACCATCTATGGACCAGGAAACGGGCTGGTGGGCTCTCTCCAGACACAATCTGCCAGTGCTTTCATCTTGGACTTCCCAGTCTCCGGAACAAGTGTGATATAATTTTTTTGTTTATAAACTCCATTTTTTGTTATTTTGTTACATCGGGCCGAATGGACTAAGCAGATGGGAGTACAACCGAGAGGAAGCAGGGCAAATCATTGTGGATGACTCCTGAGCATCTGGAATTAGTAGGTCGGATAGTGATGGCCATTTACCCAAATAGTTAGAGGAGCAAGTTTGGGGTACAGGATGGAGCAGAGGCATCTGATGCTTGGAGTAAGGGTCTATGTTAAATTCCAAATAGTTTCTCTGGTGTGAGAAACTGAAAGTGTAAATCAGGACTAGAATGTATAATAGGTAATGTGAAATAGGAAGAAAAGGGGCAAAGGGGAAGGAAGTGGCGGGGCTACGGGAAAGGATAGAAGGGAATGAAATTAATATGAGAAAATGTAAAATAGGAACAAAATCTTTGTAAATAGGGGGGAATGGAGGGGTTGAAGGGAGGGCTGGGCAAGGGTGAAAAATAAGAACCAAGAAAGATTATGTAAAGGTGCAAATTTCCAATGATGAATGTCATTATATTTTATACCTAAAATGTACCAATGATTAGAATGAATAATCGATAATGCAACATAGGAAGAAAAGGTCCAAAGGGGTAGGGGTAGTGGGAGGGGCAGGGGAAAGGAAAGAAAGGAAAGGAAAAATGATGAGAAATGGAAAAAATGGAAATAAAGTCTTTGTAAATAGGGAAGGGTAGAGGGCGTGAAGGGAGGGCTAGGAATGGGGAAAAAATAAGAACCAAGATGCTTTATGTAAAGGTACAATTCCCAATGAGAAATGTAATTGTGTTGTATACCTACAATGTACCAATAAAAGAATTTAATAAAAATTGTCACCCTGGAGATAGACATCACAATGGATGAAACCACCAGAGAAGAGTACAGTAGGAAACAGAAAGAATGCCCCCGTCACATAATATAAACTATTTAAATATATAGAGAGAGAAAAATAACTGGAGGGAAATATTCTAAAATGTTATTTTTTGTTTTGTTTTGTTTTGTTTTTTGAGGCAAGGTCTCTGTAATTCAGGCTGACCTTGAATTCACTGTGTAGCCCAGGCTGGCCTGGAACTCACAGTAATCCTCCTGCCTCCCCTGCCCGAGTGCTGGGATCACAGGCGTGTGCCACCACACACCCGGCTAATGTTATTAGTTTATCTTGGGGTGGGTAGTGGAATTTATGGATAAGGGCCACTTTTCAAATTCTTCCTAGTTAAAATTACCTGCCCACAGTGAATTATGGTATATGCCAGCAGGTCACAGTAAATAATGCTTATGTCCTTCATGAAAGCCCCTAAGGTGCTTTGGAACTAGCTGAGTTATTAACACTAATGGAGGGAATAATGCTCAGCAAGACAAAAATATTTGTACTTGTTTTTTCCCCAGCCAGATAACAACATATAAAGCAAAAGTCATGCCTCTCTGTCACAGAATGAGTTATGCAAATCATGCACACTAGCAGTAGATGGGAACTGGCCAGGTTGGCAAAAATTACTTAAAGGCTCAAGAAGCAGAAGCTGTAGCCCCAAGGGAGGCCAGGAGCGCCACTTTCTTTCTCTGTCTCAGATCCAGACTCCAGGACTGCAGAGCCCTCCCTAGGCTCTAAGTCTAAGACGTGTCCCTTCCAGTCTAGGACAGAACAAAGCAGGCTCTGAAATAGATGTTCCTGTCCCCCTGGGTCTCAAGAAGGAAAATACTGGCTGGGGATGTAGCTCAGTGGAAGAGAGCTTGCCGAGCACGCAAAGGGCCCTGGGTTCAGGTCTCTGATCACTGCCCAGGAACTTGGGGGGAAAAGACCAGTGGTGTGGATAAATGGGCACTTCTGAGTCCCAGGAGGGGCAGCCTGTTAGAGAATTGCAAGAGGGCATCCGTATGGCTGAGGCACACAGTGGGGGACAGTCTTAAGTCACTTTCCTTGTTGCAAAGACAAAATACCTGCCATCTATCACTTAAAGGAGGACAGGCTTACGCTCCCATAATCCAGTGACCTTCCAAAAGCCGCACCTTTGAGCACTTGCTTTGGGAGGACGTCCAGACATAAACCATGACAGGGACAAAGAGGAAAAAGAAGAAGCCTGAGAGGGAGGAGAAGACTCTACTGACTAGATCCAAAGGGCAGTGGGGAAAGGAGCCAGTTTAAAATGTGGAGCAAGATAACCGGATATCATCTTGAGATTGCTATGGCCCAAGTCGGGGGGGGGGGGTGTTAAGAAGCAGAGAGACCAAATCAGAGTGTCACTGAGGTGATCTAGGAGAAAGGGGACACTGGTATGCTGAGTGGGAGGGACTCTGGCCCATAGGCAGTTCCTTTATATTGTCATTAAATGTAGTTTGAGGTTTTTACTACAATTTTTGGGCCCCTTGTTTCTCTCCAATAGACTGCATTAAGCAATTTTACTTCACCACTAGGTAATCTCGGAATATAATACATGCTAAATAAATATTGCTTAAGCCAGGCATAGTGGCACATGCCTGTAGTCCCAGCCCTCTGGGAGGCTATTGCAAGAGAATCTCAAATTCAACCCCAGCTTGGGCAATTTAGCAAGACTGTGTCTCAAAATTTTAAAAAAAAAATTTTTTTTTTTCGAAGCAAGTTCGCACTTTGTAGTTCAGGCTGGCCCTGAACTCAGTATGTAGCCTAGGCTCGCCTCAAACTCACAGCCATTCTCCTGACTCTGCCTCCCGAGTGCTGGGATTACAGGTATACACCACCACACCTGGCTCAAATTTTAAAAATTTTCAAACGGCTGGGAATGGAGCTCAGTGTCAAGGCCCTGTGCTCTGTCTGCAATACTGCCAACCAAACAAAACAAAAACTTT